CGGTAAAATTAGTCTCGTAAACATGCGAATGACTCCCATGCTTACATCCCCATGATCATCCACTTCTGCCTGGTAGCACAGGGGATTACAATTGTTTCATACACTTACAGTATCCTTCGAATGTAATGTAGAGAAACTCCAACATAAACCCACACCTGCTTTTCGGCTGCTGGATCTGCAACGTCTCATGCCTTTCAGGTCGATGTTACCGAAGGCGAAACGCGGAACTCAGCTGACGATGGTTTCAGAAACTTGCTAATTTAAGTCCTTGCTGCCAACAGGCCATAAGCAAGACATGACAAAAAGGCTCGAGACAGACCTGATGCAAATTACGCACAAACTATTCATCTCCCGCTAGATAGTCAGTACGTCCCTAAATTCACACTGCCTTACATAAAAACATGGACGTTGACCCATGACAACAAGACAATTATATAGCAGCCGAATGAGTACACAATGCGTGCTGCCGCCAATCCCAGACACGCACTTCTATGAGGAAAGCTGCCTCGCAAAACCTCATCAAACTTGACTTGCATATGCGGTCATGGTTCAGTCAAACGTGAGCTTCAGTCACAGACACAGACAAATGGTTACGACGAGTCCGGGCTACGACAAGTTGGCCAGCACAGCCTTGCTAAAAGGCGACAGAAGATCAGGCAAATTTGTCGGTCCATTCAAGACAATTGCGTGCATACTATATACCTGGTTACAACCAGTCAGGGGTACAGAAAGATAGACCCAAACAAAATAAAACAAAGCAATAAAAATAACTTGCTGAGCGATGGGACAGTCGCCCAATCTGATCTCAGTTTACAGGGAGAATGGATCACAGTACCAGTCTTCATCCATCTCAGTTGGTATACTGTTTAAAGAATGAAAAAAGACTCGAGTTTGCATCGAGTCTGACATTTTTTATTGTCAATTGCTACAGAGCCTAAATGATCCGTCAGAGCTAACGGGAAATATAGATCCCAAAGCAAAACAAACTATCTGGCGAAAACATTACGACTTCTCCTCTAGCACTATTCTGTTTCAGAAATATCAATTATAGCGTTTTTAGCTTCATGATGCGTCCAATGAATGACACAGATGGGCAACAAAAGTCTCTATGATTGAGGCTGCGCCGCTGCCGGGGATCGAACCCGGGTCACCCGCGTGACAGGCGGGAATACTTACCACTATACTACAACGACTTCGCGCAAGTTATCATACCAAATCTATATATAATAATAGAAAAACACAAAAATACATGATGTGACTACATGTCTGCTTCAAGGTCTGGCATCGTTCGCCATCGTTCTCCTTCCCTTTTTCAAGAGAAGTTCAAAGCAGAATATTTTCTCATAACCGGCTTTCAGATAGTTCACGCCAAAAAGGGCCAAAAGATGATGTGCACATGAATCAAAGATCCAGACAAGGCAAGAAACTCCATGATATCCGTAATATATTCTACATAAATGGACACCCGATAGTAATCTATAACGATATCCGAAGCACTTCAAAATGGAGCATGAGGTGCCAATGCCAAACTTCTTCTAGGTTAGTAAGCCTTGCTTCTTCTCACGTCTGATACACAATATTCTCCATTTAAAAAATTCAGGGCATAATGAGCAATCTCTTGAACGAACTCCAGTTTTGCAGCCATATTCCAGAGAAGTCATAGCAGTCACAGAAATCCGTCCATACAGTGGATCCCATTGAGAGGTAATGGAAAACTGAACCCCTGATCGTGGTCATCAGGTCCATTAGACATAACTTCTGAGATCAGCTAATTCAGCTGCATATTCTTCTTGAATACAGTACTTCAAGCAGCGGATTGATATTGATTTACGGCCTAGATTAGTTCAGCGATAAACAGGAAAACTTCTGATAAATGTGCGATGCTTGGTCGAGACCCCCAGTTATCACTAAAGCCTACGACCTGCATGCATGCAGTGTACATTTGAGGAACCGAATGAGAGATAGAGGTTTTATCGGGAGGGGTATTAGTCCTTTGTAGATTATGACTGCCCTCTGCTTTGTGCCTCGACTGGAGCACAACGGCAACAGTCCATTACGTACCTACCACAAACTGAAATTCGTCTATGCTCAAATATGTGACGAAGTGATAGTAACTCCTTCCTCTGACCCAAACTGGTCTCCTCTGAAATCAGTCGACCGTTAACTTACAACTGCAATTATAGAAAGCGTTTACAACAATCTGGCTGACATTTGCAATCTTTTCCCTAGGTATCAAAATACAGAACAGTACAAATTAAATGACCTGATATCTTCGTACCTTGAGGGAAACGTCGGTCTCACACATTTTCATCCAACTGCGAACCAGTGTTGCTAGAAATGCCCGATGACTATGCTCCCCGCTTGACACTCTTCGCAGCTTTCCTATATCGACAGTTTCTTTGGCAAGAATCCAGATCCTGTGTGTGAAAACGGGTTTATCATAAATATAGGCAAGTCGAACTTACAACGTGGTTCACAATTGTCTAATCCCGGGCTCGAACCTGGGACCTTTAGTGTGTGAGACTAGCGTGATAACCAACTACACCAACCAGACAGATGGCGCAAAGGTAGTTGCGCCACCTCTCTGGTTGGTGTAGTTGGGAATTTGTACTTCATTCACTACCAATTCCCAAATAGACTGCGAGTAACATTCCAAAAAGACTTTAAATTGTCCGATCCCGGAGGTAGATCTCCTGTTCGAAATCGAAACAGGTTAAACAAAAGGAAAGGTACTGAATATATCCAGCGACAATTACGTTGTCTGATCCCGCGATCCCGCGCTCGAATCGGGGACCTCTATAGTGTGAGACAACCGTGATGACCAACTACACCAACCAGACTAACATAATGAGGTATGATTTTACTAATACTAAATAAAAAAAAATTTCAAATATTACTCCTTTCTTTTGATAACTCATTTGCAACTAATCCTAGGAAGTTTTCAAGCCAATAATGACGTACAGAAAAAATTGTAAAATTAATAAAACTACATTTAGGAACATTTCAGTAACAACAAATTATTAAAATTCATTATGTTTACAACTGTGTTTAGCATCGGCCGAGTTTGACCTGCACAACAGCCTTCCGCTCAGAATCGAGATACACTAAATCTCGTTCAATCAGGTATAAGGGAAAACCTGGACAATAAATATATTCTACATACTTAATAAGTATATCTATCTTTCACATAATTCTTGAAGCTACGAAAATAAGATCTTTATAGTACTGATCCAACAATACATAAGTACAGAGAGCTACCTCCGAAGTCAATGAGGTTTGAATCTAGAGGAGGATGCGAAAAAGCCAATGCTAACAACTAAATTAACGAGTCACGAACAAAGGAATTTACGAAGTTCAGAAGCAAAGGCTAGATGACTGTATGTTTATCATTTAGCTTTTAAATACTGGCGCCTAGAACCTCATCGTTTGGTGAGCGGGAAACCTATTAAAGTACGGCAGCATTGATAAGGAGCATATCCTGAATTCAGTTCCTAATATCAGGACTTCGAAAGGAAGTCAAATTCATATATCAATCTTCCACTTCTCACATCCCGTAAGCATATTTATATCAGGGTCATGAACCACATACCCGCATATGGTAGAGTGCAAGAAAAAATGAGTGAATGAAATTCCAAGTCCACCTGAAACCAGCTGATGGGACTGCAAGAAACGTGCAAGAAAGATTTCTCATGGCATGGAGATAAAACCATCTATCTCAGCAATGGCATGGTTGGTAGTATAGATAATTAGTGTAGAGTGCAAGAAAGTCTATATTCCCATCGCAATCCCGGCCTACGATATGGATCGTTTCTACAGCATGTAATAGACGCCCAGCTCGTAATCCAGGTTTAAATGCATGCACATAAGAATGTATAGTTCACTTTCGATACCCATTTCCAGAACCGTTCCCTCATTTCTATTTTTTCCCATTAGGAGTAACTCCTGCTTACTGTTGCCATCCATGGTGCATAAGTTTGTCTTGCCCTGCACAACATTCGAAGGGTCAGATTCATGCGCTATCACTGGGGCTGGTGCTGACAACACGAGGGAGCAGAAACTCGCGCAAGTAGAAGTTGAAATCAAAGCACAGTGAGCAGATGATACGGAGTACAAGTAAAGACGCTGGCCACTAGTGTGCGATACGCTGTATTAGTTGATAGAGGTCTCGTCTAGAATCAAGTAAAAGAGAAACAAGTATTAACCAGGCTCGATCTGGAAACCTCTAGTATAATAGCCTGACGTACTCACGAACTACACCATACAACCGGAGGAAATTCCAGTTTTTAATATAATCCTGACAGAAATTGTTTATGCCCTATGAATCATTTCACACTCCTTGTAGAATTATCCGAACATCATAGTACATTGTTTAACAAACTCGTATGTATCATTTGCTTAAGATAGATAGGGCAAGTAGTATAGGACGTACTGTCCGTCAAATTTTACCGAGTAGAGTGAAGAGATTGGAGTGAACTTTAATGGACAGTGTGACAGGACAACTCGAGCACATGTACAGTATGTTGACTATGTACCGAAATGGACTGAATTAGCCTCAGAATTATCTATCGCTACGTGAAGATCAAAATCCCGGAAATTGAACATCCTATGAACGTAGGAAGTCGATCATTTCAATATCAACTCTAACAAACTTCGTATCGGCCAGCAGTTGCCGCGAAATTGAAAAGCCAATTATAAAATGATACAGGACACACAATACTGATCCGCGTTGAGAGATATCTATATCATGACTGATGTAGCACCCACTATGAAGGTCGAAGGCTTTCTAAACGCAGAGACACAAAATCCTATCAATATGTGGAAAGAAAGCATCTTATAACTCTACAATTTCCTAACATGACCGGTGTACCACCCACTATGAAGGGCGAAGGCTATCTAAATGCAGAGACACAAAAGCCTATCGTTATGTGGAAAGAAAGCATCGTAAAACTCTACAATCTCCTAATTACAGGCAGTCTCAAGCACTTGGGCCAAAAGGCCACTGACTCATGCAGGTCTCGAAGTTGTTACCTTCGCGCTATTAGCACGACGCTCTAACCAACTGAGCTACTGGGCCTACGTTTTGGGGAGAGTAGAATTACTAAATTGTACTGCACAGAAACGAAGGAACTAATGCTTGTCTCAGACACTACTCTTAGAAGATAAGCACCACAATACAGTGATTCGCAACTTGCAGTGTCAGATGACATCTCTAATATCTGCGAAACTAAATTAGAATAAAAGAAATAGGGAACATATGGAGAAAAACACCATCCACACAACAGAAAATAAGGTTAACAAATGCGGAGGCACCCTGCCGCGAAGAGAATGAAAGTGGGAGAGGCTAGTCCCTCTCGCAATATACAGTACTGCTAACTCTCCCACCACCCAGCGCAAATCATACTTACTACCAGTAGTGTGGTCCAGAACGAAAACCGATGATTATCGCTAACGCTATTTCCTCAAAATCGAGGAAGGTATCGCTCTCTGTAGTTCGAGGGAACTGAAAAAAAAACTATGACTAAGTTATGCTATGTTCGCTTCAGTAACCTCTCCAGCCATCCACATGAGAACTCGGCAATGAGTCTACGAGAGATGGCGTTACCTGAACATCTCCTATTATGCCGATTTTAGTTCGTTAACTAACAAAGAGGCTCCAAGGAGAAAAAGATATCCATCAACTGCGCCAAAGGTGGGGCGAGAGGGGCTCGACCTCCGGATTAATCGATAGCTATGAGACTAAGTCGCTAACCAACTGCGCCACCGCCCCTTGAAGAGAGCAAAGGCATGCTTCTTGTATATAATGAAACATAAACTGATGTCATGTACGAAATGCCTCATGCTGCGTTTTCGGCTCACGCAAGGTCGGTTTTCTACACTCACCCGCTCCAATTTCCATTTGAAAATCTTTCTTTTCCTTGCAGTATGACATTCCTATATATTGAACACCTGAAATGAGTGCAAATGAAAGTGAACCAGGGAAAAGAAATCGCAGCGACTACAGGGACATTATCACACTGCTCGTTTACAAATATGCATTATCTGTGACTTCCAAATTTTGAGGAGAAACTAAGCCAAGACCGTCTCAGAGATAAGTTTGAGAAATTGGACACAAACAGAGACTAGTGGAAGAGTACCGGTCAGAACGCTTCAGTGTCCTCACCGAGCGCATCACGACGTCCGTCGAGAAAGGTGACAAGCGAATATTGCGACAACCCATCGAAGTGAAGAAAAGAACACAAACAAAAGGAAAACTCCAAAGTCTAAATGTGACTAAACTCATCTCTTATAGAAGAAAGAAATGGCGTCGACAAGAGAAAGGACAGTTCTCCCGTTCCAACAACTCTGATTCGATAACAAGAATGCACCATCTCGGAGTTCCACAGGAACTCAAGCTCATACATCCGTGAAGTGGAAGAAGAAAACAGATATACAAGAAAAGCGGAGAAAAGACTGCAAAGGATTGTATCTCCCGTTAGAACGCTTGAGAATCTTCACCGCCGGCGGAACATAAGAGCTATCTAGCACGTTACAGGCAAATTGGGGGGACCTAGAGTATACATAAATGACCTGAGACATACGCTGAGACCGCATTCCCATTCATATGCCTAGCGCGACAAGAAATGAGTTTTGCTACCGTCGATCTCACCTAAATTTCACAAGGATCGAAATTTCTCCCCGGGAAACACTAGTTCTCGTATGAAACAGCTCATTGTACGGAGAAGTTACATTAACGGAGTGGTCAAATTTGAATTTCTCTTTTTATTGAAATAGATCAACGTTTTTTTGGATCATCCCGAAGATAACCTAGGAAACTAATGCAAATTTTACCAATAAATGTTTTCATCCGGGAAATTACATTGCTGCAAAAGTCATAATACATACTTGTATATTGTTTATATAGCTTTTTTGTTTAATACTAAAGTCTGAGTAATGTGATTACATAGTCCACAATATACAAATTGTGGACTCTCTAATCACATTACTTAGACTTTTGATTACCGAATTTTATACGGTAAACTTGAGATCAACGTGTCACAATGTATGGCTTGGCTTCCTTGGGGCATTCATCTCCAGCTTCCATAAAGATGTATGACATTGAAAAACGGTTTACGTATTCTAGGAATGCTAGTAATGTCCAAGGATTTTGTACTACGTTACATTTACCAAGGATGTTTTGCATGTAGATGATCTTACTTTATTATGGGATCCACATGTGACGTTTGATATATTCTAATCTAGTATTGTTCATCGACCCATCTACCTTCTTCACGAGGTTCCTCCTTCATCTACATTCATATCACGTGTGATAGCCTTTGATAGGAGGATCATGGATGTCTTTGGTGACATCATCGGACTAGAAACCTTTGAGTGTGTGACAGGAGATTTGGCATAGATACAAACATCTGTGCCGATTTCCTAGGCTTATTATCGATGGAAGAGATGACACCTATAGGATTCTTGGCTACTTGGGCACTCTCGGCACCTTTGTTGTCTTCTTGATTTGTTATCGCAAATATGCATATCCTTAAGATATATGCGAGGGACGTGGATACATGATCATTTTCCTATTGCGACATATTGTGACATACAAGAAATACTTTATCCCTGGAGGTACGATATGAGCTCTTGTCTTTTGACTCTTTGGCCATCTATTGGACTAGAGGTATACAGTCTGCCTTGATGGACCGACAATTTCAAAAGGCTCTGCATTCACTCTTTCTAGATCCGGCCATTTCTCGTACTACTAGAGCTTGTCTACGCTCTTGCTCTAGCAAGGTGCATGCTTGTGGATCTTGGCTCGACCATGCATCAAGGCTTTCCGACTCACACAATTACTTTCTCTACAACAATGAGGTTCCGTCTTTGCTTGGTCCATCCATCTACATCTTCATTACTCACATGTGAGTGTTGTATCACTTTAGATGCAGCAAGTGTTCATATGACTTGTTGCTCATTCGGAGGGCAAAGGATAGCTACCCATGATGTCATTAGGAATGTGGTGTTTGATATGGTGCGAGAGTGTGGATATCTCACATGGAGAAAGAGTTGGTATGCCCTGTAGTCGACTAGGGTTAGGCAGACCTGTACTTGGTTCGGGAGGTCCAGGTCAATGAAGCGGATGTGGTAGTTACCAATCCTACTCGTGACACAGTTTCAAAGGGGGTGATCACCCATCCTCCAAGATGGGTGGCGAGTGGAGCGGCGGCAGCCAAGATCTCCAAGTATAGGGGTATGTAGAGAGGTCATTTTTTTGTTCCTCTAGCTTTGGAGTTATATGGAGCTATGGACACCGATTTCGACATGTTCGTGAGGGAGTGTGCAAGAGCTTACCATACTAGTCGGCATGGGGTATCAATCTGCATAACCTATTTTAGTCAACATGTTTCCATTGCTCTATAGAGAGCACTAGCAAGTGCAATCCCTTTTAGATGATGTTTCTTCGGATGCTTCGTTGTTTGTAGATCGTTTGACCTAGATAGTTCGGATATCTTAGGTACGGTAGGACATATTTCATGTGATGCTATTGGGGCTAGCACCATGTTATCCGTTTGGTTCCATACTTGTACGATTTGATGGGGTCTTCACTCCCCTTTTTGTTATTTTATTGTGTCTCATATTTGCATAGGTTACACCTTAAAATATGTTCTGATTCTCAAGCATTATATGACAAGCCTTGGGAGAAACATATACTCACACTTGGGTGATGACACCCCCGAGCAATTTTGTTCGTCCACTCATATCACCTCCATACTGGCCATGGCTGTAGTCGCTGCTCTACTGACCTCGTCTCTGCTCGATGCTACTCTCTCCTCGCGGTGAGAGTTGCATGGAGTTTGCAATAGTTAAATTTCTCACAGCATCCAAGTTATGAAACATAACCTCCCAAATATATACAACTGAAACTGAAAATACATTAGAAGTTTGTTCACATCTCACTTCCGGTTTCTCACCTCATGAACGCAGTTAGAAAACTGTCAAGCTTGAAGAAAATGACGGCTGCAGTAACCTCACTGCCCTCTCTCTGGCAGTAAGGTTAAGCCAGCGACTGGAATGAGAGAATCTTCGGGGCTGCTGGAGGTACTGCGAGTGTGCAAGATCAACGAGCGCTTAGATTATCCGGGGGAGTTCAATCCTGTTGAAGTTGAAATTGAAGCGCCAGCGTACTCCCGACACTTCTGTCACCGTGGAGTTCGCGAAACAAGGTAGAGTTTCTTGCATATCGCGTTCTGGGCATTCTACTCATGTGCTCGACGGGCGAATTCTACTTACGAGCAAAAGGCGATGTCTTGCAAGTTCGGAGAACTGACTGGCTATTTCCTTACTTTCTGATGAACAGAGAAACACGGTTCGTTTGTCCTCCTGCTGACACGTAGGGCCCAGTGAGTTCGTTTTTTACCCAAATGTTTGCGTCAAGAGGTTTTTTGAAAATATATATGCGAAGTTGATCTCTTCCTATAACGACTGTACTTGGACAGGATCTGTTCTACAGTAGGTACATCTTGATCTGTAAACTCCCTCACAGGCAAGCCTCGTATCCTGGACGATGAGTAGTGGCTCGAGTATCAGCGCGTGAAAATTGCGGTCGGGCTGGACACGTGACAGCGCTCGGCTCAGCCCGATGAACATCCCTGTGAAAGAAGAAAGTGTTGCGTCATTTCCCAGCATGTTCCTCACCATGAACTTCCGATACCTTACACCTCCAATTATGCTTACATAAACGTGACAATGCTCTCTTCCCGACAAATAACCTCACACTTGCCTAACAAAATCCGGCATGGAGTGAGTAAGGTTCGATCATTTAAGAATCATACAAATGGGTATCCAGCAACACAGAATTAAAATCTGCCTCTGTAAAGACAAATATTTATAATCTTCAAATCATCCGGAGGAATAAACTCAACTATCATATCATCTTGAGCATGACGTCTATTGCTCATTTCTTCAGCCAACAATTACTCGTCTGCCATCTATATGTACATAACTGCTGTCATGGACGATCACAACCCCTTCGACATCTCATACACCACTCAGCGTTGCGAACCTACACTACCCACAAGGGCGCAAGTAGCC